TGTTTTATTGTCGATGGTAGAGACAGCACGAACAAAGCACAACAGAATGCAAGTGTATTATACAGCATGGAGGAATGCAGTCCTCCAATCAGCAGCTGCCACAGTGCCATGTAGCTAGGCCTTCAGAAGTCAAAACAAGGGAAAAGTACTGGCTTCTACACATTGATAGAATGATGAATTTAACTTTAACAAAAGTTGCTTAAAAGTGTTATGAAATCTCACAACAGTCAACAGAACCACGTGGACGACTTTGCTTGAAGTTTACAAGAGAAGTGCACAAGACGTACATATATATTCTAGAGAAATGTTTTTACATGCACAGACATTCAGGAGAACCGGACTGTGATCTATCTCCACAGATGACTCGTGACCTGATGGGGATGGAGCCAAATGGGGGATGGAGCCAAATGCCTGCTGCATGAGTCACGTCGTGGCCAGACAGCTCTGTCCTCCTTGTTCTGAATGTGAAAAGGAAAAAGCTTTTTTTCTTCACCTTTTTAATAAATCACACACAAAAAAATTTCTCCTGGATCCATTTTGTTAGTATTAGATAGCAATATGGCCTACGTGCAGGACTCTACAAGGACTCTGATTATTTTGACTATGATGTGACTGTCTCTGTGTGACACGTACGTCTTTCCATGTGTGACGTGACAATGACTATATAAACTGTGTACTGCCTTTATTCTGTCTGAGAGAAGGAAACAATGGAAACCACTGGAACTTGAGAGAAACTTAAATAAACTTCCAGAGTTTGGCGCACCACGATCCGTCTCTGTCTGCTTCATCCCTGACAGATTTGGTGGAGAATGCGCGGCTCAGTGTGCGCCATTCTCTGGATTGTTTTGAGGGAGTTTGCTTTGTTTCTTTTCCTCGGCGTGAGAGACCGGCGTGCTGTGTCTGGGAGCGGAGATTCCGGCAGGCTGGAGGAGCTGTTCCTGGATGCTTCTTGTCGCTTCTGTCACTTTTGTTTTTTGGATTGAGTATTCCGACGCGGAAAAGAGTTGGCAGACCTCTCGGACAGTCCTTGGAACCGGTTTGACAAGAATAAGGTAAGCAGACACCTTTTTATATGTAAAGTCTGCATAATTGGATACTAGCTAAATTTTGGTCTGTTTTTGAGGTCTGTCGAACTCTCTAAATTGTGTTCAGATAAGTGAGGATCCATAAGTGTATTGGCCATAAAGTGTATAGGATCCATAAGTGTATTGGCCCTAAGTGAAGGATCCTAAGTGAAACCATGGTGTAAACATAAAAGCAATAAAAAGGGAAATGTGTTAAAGAGGCCTTTGTTACAAAAGCTTTGAAATTGACAAATTTCAGGCTGATAAATGACAAAAGTAAAGAAGCAACAATATTTCAGTGATCACGGTTTAAATTACAGACAGAAAAAGGGAGTTTTTGTTTTTTAGTTCGTTTTTTGGCGTGAACAGAGTTCACCGGAGAATGCAGAGTTTGATCTACAGTTGAGCTATGAGAGGGTTGTATCCAACAGTTGTTTTTGTTTTTTTTTAGAAAGAGATTTTGAGTTTAAACTAGTTTGCTACCTCGATAAAATAGAAGCGTAAACGTTAAAGACAAGAGTGCCTTTTGTTACAAGTGTGGAAAGTGATCAATTCTAGACTTGGATGACAAAAGTATAAACTACAACATCAGTTATATTCGCTTAAAAAAAGTAATCTTGAAAGTTCTTCTTTCTGTTTTTGCATTTTTGCTAAAACACTACTTTCTGCCTGTGTGTGCGCGTCTGTGTGACAGTAACCCCCCCGCCCTCACTGCTGCTGCTGCTGCTGCTCTGATTTAAAGGGGAGCTACTGCTTTTAGGATTTTGGCTTTTCATAGTTGTTATTCCGTTAAATTTGCTAAATTTGCAATTGAACATTGTGTTATGACACAGTTAACACTAGGACCGCCGTGCTCTAAACATACCTTGTACCGCCCCCTGCGGTCAGTTGACCGCTATGTATTTTGCGCTGATACAGCCTTTTGCCAAATTGATTGTTCACTAAACCAGAACTTGATGTTGCAAAGAAATCGTGATCATAATGAAACTGTGTAAATTATTTGTCTAAATATGCTAAGTAATTGTAATTCCAGCCAAAATAAAAGGCTAAGACGACACATTGTGCGTGTACTGATCCATCAAAATTGCGATGACTTTTCAGGCTAGATTTATTTTGTAACTTTGCAAACATCTAAAAGGTTAGTCACTATATGTTAAATTTGACTCAGTAACAATATTTAAATTCAAACAATATAAATGATAGTTTAGAAAAGCACGGGACCATAACGTCTTCTCGCTGCTATGCGTACTTCTTACGTTTTCTCTTTTCAGCCGAAATCATCGCGGGAAATATTATCTAGATAATAATAATAGTATTCGTATTGACACAAGATAATCAGGCTAGGCTACCATCGTCAATGTAAAATCTTCAATTTTACACGGGACACGTTAGAAAGACAAATATATATATATTTGTATTTGAGACAAGCAGTGCTCTTTATGATCAGAACAAAATTATAATCATTGCCTTGCAGTGCGCACTGTGCAGAATAACACAGTGTTATCTGGATGAAATAATAATATGAATAAGAATATATGAGGGCCGCTTCAGCCACAGTCGCTCTCCTCCTGCAGTGTCCGCGGGTGACGAGAGGCCTCACAGCGCTCTATCTGCACTCTGCCTTGATAGTTAATCTAATTGTTCTATTTTATTGCAATATTGTATTCTGCTTTATTGCCTTCTTCTATGTATAAATATAAGAATGTAATTGATGATGAATGAAAAGGCAGAATGGAGTGACAGCGAGCACACAGACACCTGCGTATGACATTACGCGGGTCATGTGAGTTATTGCTTCTGGACTTGTTACAACACTGCTGTCCGTGCCGTGAATGCACTATGGGTTTACGTTCAGATTTAGAATATTATAGGTGTTCTCCCCGCTGTCACTTTCCACCTCAAAATGTGACATCTCACCTCCGTCAGACTGTTCTCATTCAATGTCTTGAAGCACTGTCAGGGCTTCATACCGTGTACTTGCAGCTCTCATATTTTGTACTCCTCTCAATTCAAAACTCTTTATCTCTCCCAAATAATAAAAAAAAACCTCAATTCCCTGTAGAGTCTAATGACAACATATTGATACATTTTTATAAGGCGCGAAAAAACCCCGGGAAAGGTTACTATGACAACAGGCGCCCCTGCGCCATGTATCCCTATGGGGCAGCAGAAAGGGCTGTGGTTTAGAAAAGTTAAAATGCGTGTAAATCTTGTTTTCTTTACTTTTTCCAAAAACAAAACACACCAAAATATAAACAACAAGTACCCAGTAAAAGTCATAAAATTTCAACTTCTGGCGTTTTGTTTTGAATACACTAATTAGCATATTAAAGTGAGTGACGGTCAGTTGACCGCTAGGGGCGCTCCTAGTGTTAAATGCACCTTTTTCTATTTTTTGCAGTTTGAAAGAAAAAAAGAATGCTCAATAGTCTGTATATTTCTATACCTGTGCACTTTAGTCATGCTTAATCTGTATAAGTAACTTTCTATTTGTAATTATCAGTCAGTTTTATGTTGCTCCCGGTCGCCACAATAACTAAGAAGTGTATTGTTTACCTTTTTTTATTAATCACTGATGTTCACATGTTGCCTTAAGCTAATATGTCACGGAGTAGACAGCATTTCTTGTATTGAAGCCTACCTGTTTAGTTATAATGGATACTGCTACCTCTTAGTTATTCTCAGGCCTGATATGAGGGGAAATGTGTACCCGTTTTCTATTATGTTACTGGATTGGAATTGGTCATTGCCATCCAGGGTGGGGGTAGTGTTGTGAGATCAGAGTAGTGTGTGCGTGTGTGTGTGTGTGGGAGCGCGCCGGTAGACAGAGACAGAGTGAAAGCTAGGAAAGAGCGAGAGTGCGACCGGAGCAAGACAGGGAGCGTAGTTGTTTTTGGGAGAGATAATAAAGCCAACTTTTGAGCAACAGTCCGTGTCCCTATATCCGCACCACACTTAACAGCGAGGGTCAAACAAGAAGGGAATTACGCCCCGGAGGAAAGCACCCCTTCGGCCCTGGAGCTGCAAATCTCCCCTGCGCCCCTCGACATCAGTCTTGGGGCTTTTAACAGGAAAGGCGTAACAGTACACTTTTGTTTTAACATATTTGTAATTGTCTAAATCTTGAAGTGGCTGTAAAGACACTCCTGTACAGCTGAAGCTAAAGAGATATGCTCGACATGTAGAAAGGGCTACTGTCGGTTGTTTTTGTGTTTTCCATGAAATGAGTGAACTCTCTTTCACATAGACTGGCACAATATCCTGATGTGCTACGTCTGTCTGTCTCGTTTGAGCCCAACTTGCCTCACAGTAAACTTTTAGACCAAGTTTTTCTGTGGTGTTCTTTTTGAAGTATAGTCTTTGTTCAGTAGTACCTTTGAGATCCCTGAACACATGTTTCACTGTATTCCAGTGTTCCACAGTTGGTTCACTAAAGTGTTGAGAAAGTTTACTGACAACATAAGTGACGTCAGGTCTGGTGCAAGTGGATCAGTAAATTATACTTCCCACTGCCTCTCTGTATTGTCGGGACATTTTAACATTGTCTGTATAATCAAGTTTAGGTTCAAAAGGAGTTTCTCTCATTTTGCATTTCAAACCTTTCTAAAATCTTTTTCACATATCTCTCTTGTGACATCTTGACTTGTCCATTAGTTTGTTCAAAATCCATTCCTAAGAAATGTTTCAATATTCCTAGAGTAATTATTATATGACGGACCCATATCTGTCCTCTTTGGAGCACCGCAACACGCCTGTCGATGGGTTCAAATCCCCTGCGCAACTACTTATGAGTCGTCGTTTACGCTCTGTACTCCCAGTGACAAAACAACACCTGCAACCTCAAGTTACTGGTTGGAGCTGTATTATGACCACGGCGCTAGACAACTACCTACGCTGATTCAAGGAGATCCCGTCCGGTACCAACAGGACACAGGGATGTGGAAACCTGCAGTCATTCTCAAACCTGCAGAGACTGATCGTACGTACGTGAACGCTCAGCAGCTCAACCTCCAGCACCTGAACCATCCAATCAACCTGAGCAGCCTGAGGTAGATCCAGCTGAAAAAAACACTTGAGACTAATGCAAACATACCAACTACAAGGTCAGGCCGGAGTGTTAAACCAAAGACGCATTCTGGACTTGTAAATGTACAAGGGTACACTGTTAAAAGTCGTACGCCCATTTTGTTATTGTAACGTTAGATTGTAGTTTGTTTTCACATGACAATGATTATTTAAAATGTTTAACTTATGCCAATAAGTTCAAAGGTGAATAACTCTTTGAGGTGTGTTGGGGTAACATTTAAATACATGAACTTGACTTAGTTTGGTAAGTTTTCTAAAGAGACCGGATCTTTTAATCGCACACCCATATTATTGCGCCGCACATATAGTGCTGGAAATGCAGACTAAATATTATACAGACTTTAGAGGGCTGAAAACGTACTTTTAATAATAAATCTAACGTAACATCCTAAAAAAAAGCTGTTGAGATTAATTAATTTCGATAAAACTGACGTAGGCCTATTAGCGGAAGGACACTATTCACATCAGTCCGCCCTACGGTCCACTTCGCGGCAACAACTCAACTTTTCCTACCGTTTGAGGTTCTTCTTCGAGGAGCGTGTTGAAAGTAAGTACATTATATTTTGCTTGGGTTTTAGAAAAATGAAAGATGGGCACATACTAATTAAAGCCGTGGCTGTAATCACATATAAATATTGTTATGCTTTGGTTGTTGAGCAAGCCATGTGGTGCTCTAGCTAGCTTGGGGGAGGGGGGGCGTTGGCGAGCGTTTTTTATTTTATTTTATTTTTTTATTAAGGGACGGCATTTGTCATATTAATGGGTGCACTTGTTCATTTGCCCAAATGCTTCGTTTTCCACGATTATGGGACTGTTTTCTCTGACAGACGAGGTGGAGTTCAGTTTCCGGGTCGCAGAGACACAAGTCGAGGTCGCGAAAAGAGTCAGCAGCTACACAGCCCTGTCCTTGCAGAGGTAACGTTCTAATGTTGGCTTTAACTGTCGAGCATGTATTTTGGTACCTACACAATTTCCGCGCAGCATTGCCTAAATGCTGTTCCACGCAACATGCGGACTCTGTTCGGGTGCGGGCATAAGACCGGGTCTGCAGTGACGGGGCAGTCGAGCCCCCGCAGCACCACACGAAGGTTTGAACGTAACCATGTGAACCTTTTCACCTCTTATCTCCCACCTGAACAGAGCACATTCTCTCTGAGGTTAAAGTCTATTTCGTCTGTGTTTTGGCCAAGTTTCACATTCAATGTGTGCCAATCGTTTGTGCTTGTAACACATTTAGATTGAATTGATGATTCTGTTTTCAATCTGAGGGCACGCTTTGTCTGTTTTATGATGCGCGTTGATGCGTATTTTGTCTTGAAGGACATTGCGCGTGCACGCCTCAATTTACAACGCGCATTCACGGAGGTCTGGAAGTGTATGGAAATCCACCTGCACTGTACCATCTTGAATCTGCCCCTCAAACTAAAATTATATGTCAGTTGTGTGCGGTAAACTATTTGGTTTGGGCTGTTCTAGCATTTTAGATATTAATGATTCTTTTATTTGATCGGAGGTCAGGTCACCCTGTCCATTATAAAGCTGCAAAACATCTGATGTTTTGTGCTGTTCAGTTTTTAAATTATTACAAGGTTTAAAGTCTTGAGACATCTCTGATGCTTGATTGTGTGTGACTCAGTGCCAATACTCACTGCTTTTTTTTAATATATATATAATGTGTATGAGAAATATATAATGAAACGTCACACATTATTGACATTTTTTTTTTTTTTTTTTTAATCTAAATTTCTGTTAAAATGGAAGTTGGCTCTGCAGAAGTAATGAGGAGAGTAGGGAGCTAGGTTTTTATTGCACTAAGAATTAAGAAATTGCATACAAAATTTCTATTTTATACCGTCTTAACCTCTCAACCCCCACCTGAACAGAGTGCATTTTCATAGATGTAGGTAAAGCCGAATTGGAAAAAATGTGCTTGGTTAAAGCAGTACTAAGTAACTGGTTTACCTTTTAATAAGTGTTAATGGGATGATTGGGGGGCCTTTCATCTCACCCTGGTGTCTCTGGCCAGAAAACCAGAATTGCAACTTCCCTGCCTCTGGGTCAGAGTCACCAATACACACTAATGGAATCACGAAGAAGCTAACAGGCTAACGTGCAAAGCTAACTGCGAGCAAGCACCACTTAAACAGTATTTACAGCCAAGTTTGAGTGAAAAACAATGATCTCCATTGTGTAATTGGATGTACAATATCCCTCTCCCTTTTGTCTTTTCTGTCAGCGTAATATTTACTCTCACAGACAATGAGTAAAAAACACAACATGTTTGACCCGGACTGTCTTCAAATTGGAGTCATTAAGAATGTTTTATTGCATTTTAATTTCATTTTTGTGTTTCAGGTGGAAGAACGAGCCTTACCCTTTACCTAAGTACGTGGATGAAGTGGAGCTGTAAATTTTGCAGTTTCTCAACTTACATTGAACAGAGAATACTAAATCATTACAAAGGTAAACATGGACACAGAAGAAGAGGGTTGGTCTGCATTTATCCAAACTGCACGACAATTGTAAAATCATATGTGGCTCTAACGGTGCATTTAAAAACGCACAAAGTACCCTGTCCAGTCCAAAAACTACGGTGTGAACTATGTCTTTATTTGGAACCCACCAACATCAAACGCTATTTCATTCATTTAAGTAAACATTTCAAAACTTCAGAAACAGTTGCATGTCCATTTTCAGGCTGTCCTTTTAAATCAAGGCTTTACGGAAGCTTTTCAAGTCACAGAACTCGTTGTCACAAGTTTGCTACCTTGGATGATATCAGACCAGACCTAATTGTTGGTAGTTTGCCACAAGCCTCTGAAACTGGGGAACAGGAGGATTTGGATTTTGAGTCGACTGACGCTGAACCTGAGAATCAATCTGTTGAAGACCCTACACAACAGCGAATTGCTTCTCTGCTCCTGTGCATGCAAGCTGTCCTTCATGTGTCAACAACGGCCATTCAACATATTGTAGATGAACTTTTTGATATTGGAGATTGTGCTGGTCAAAAAACTGAGGAAGCTGTGCTTGATGTTCTAAAGGCCCATTGTACCTCTGAGGAAATAATATCATCTGTGACTGAAGTGTTAAAAAGTAAAAATTCCTTTGCCTGGTTTTCAAGAGCAGGACCACTCGGTACGGAGTATAAAAGACAGGCGTTTTACAGACGCCATTTTTCTGTCATTGAGCCTGTTCAATATGATCTGAATTCACTAAAAAAATCTCATAAATTTGTGTATATTCCTATTCTAAAATTACTCACTGAACTTCTTCAAAGAGATGAAATATTGGAGGCACTGAGAAACACAACTGAGCATTCAGAGCACTATAGTTCATGTCAGGATGGGGATTACTTTAAAAGGAATGTAATTCTCTCTGGTAAACCCAGCGTTGCATTGCTTTTATACATTGATGACTTTGAAATTTGCAACCCTTTGGGTACATCCAAAAAAAAACATAAAGTTTGTGGCGTTTATTGGTCACTTGCAAATTTACCAAAGCAGCACAGATCATCTTTGGCTTCAATTTACCTTGCAGTATTGTGCAAAACGGAACATGTTAAAGTATATGGCTATGAAAAGGTTTTGGCACCGTTGATATCGGACATTCAGCATTTGGAAACAGTTGGAGTGTACATCCCAAAACTTGATTGTAGTGTGAAAGGGACTGTTTTTTCAGTTTCAGCTGATAACTTAGCTGCACACTCACTCGGTGGATTTCAAGAGTCTTTTAATGTGGAGAAGTTTTGTAGGTTTTGTCTTGCATCACGTGAAGAGATACAAACTTTTGACGTTCAAAGAGGACAATTTGTGTTACGATCATCAGAGTTGTATGATAAAGCCGTGGAAGAACTGAAACAGAGCAATGTGGGAGTCATTGATGGGGTGAAACGAGAATGTCCACTTAATAAATTGGCAGGGTTTCATGCATGCACAGGTTTTCCACCAGACTTCTTACATGATGCACTTGAAGGAATTGTACCTATTGAGCTCAGTCTATGTTTGGGAAACCTAATTTCTAAGAGGTATTTTACATTAGATGAACTCAATGACAGAATACAAAACTTTCCTTTTAAATTTCCGGACAATACAAATAGACCTCAAAACATTCCTTCTACCTTCAAAAAGAAAAGAAGCCTTGGTGGAAATGGACATGAGAATTGGAGTCTTGTACGCTTTCTACCACTTTTCATTGGTGACAAAATTCCAGAGGATGAACTGAAAGAGTTGGTGGAGTTGCTGTCAACTTCCTGTTTCACTCCAGCCAGTTTATGTTACTTGGAATCCAAAATATCTGACCACAGGCAGCAAACTACTCTTAGTTTTCCCTGACTATAAACTGCGACCAAAGAATCATTTCATTGAACATTATCCTGATTTGATTAACAAGTTTGGACCTCCTACTGAGACGTGGACGATCCGATTTGAAGCAAAACATTCCTTTTTCAAGAAAGTTGTGCATGATGTCAACAACTTTAAAAACATTTTACGTACATTGGCCACAAGGCATCAACTAATGTTGGCACACTACTTGGCAATGCCAAGCCTTTTCAGGCCTGAAGTAGAGACTTCTAAGGTGACAACTGTACCACTACGAATTCTGGACAATGCTGTGCAACAGGTTGTTTTGAGTAGGTTTGGTGATATTGAGGACATTGACCTGACACCACATGTTTTTTTGAATGGAACAAAATATTGCATTGATATGTTTGTATCTGTTGGCAGCACTAGTGGACTGCCCAATTTTGGGAAAATAATTCAAATATGCATTGTTTCAGCCACACATGCCTGCTTTATAATTGAACCTTTTACAGGTCAAGCATTTGAGGAGCTACCAGCTGCAGAAAAGCCTGTCTCCTTGTCTACTAGTTCAAAAGGAAGAACTCAACGACTACACTCCTCTTGTGGCATACTTTGTGCGAGGTTACCTTCTGATTGCGCCTAGAACCTTCCTGCTGAAGTAAATGTAAGTCTTTTTTTGTTTTTGATTACTATAAATGTGTGTTTTTTCTTTTTTTTTTTTGCCTGCACTTCGTCGCACTTTTGAGTTTTCATCACGATTGTGTCACATTTTTGTCACCTTTTTGTTTGTGTTTTGTTTTTCTTTTCTCTAGCAGAGGCAATCCACAATGCTACTACGAGTAATCCTATCTCCAAATGACATAAGGCGCCTGACCATTGAAGAAAGACCACCTACTGTTGAAAAACTTTATGAGATACTCCGAAACAAATTGGGAATAAGAGGTAGCTTTTCTGTACAATTTGAGGACCCTGACTTTGGTAACGCGCTCTGCAATCTGCAAGATATACAAGAACTTCCTGCAGACCAAGCAACATTGCTTTAGCCCACGGCGCCTTCTGCTTATTTTTCACTATTTTAACCTTCACAGGAGCGATGGTGTCCAGAACTTTCAAAACACTAGAGGTGACAGAGTTAAACAGTTCATCTACAGTAGAATACGATGCATTCTCAAAGTTTATCATTCCCATAAATAGTTCACCCGTATTTTCATTTATGTGTCTTCTTCGTACAGTTGCAGAGTCCACTGGTGGTTTGTTAGTGAAACACATGTCAAAAAATATACAAAAATGATCCGAAAGCGCAACATCGACCACGTTTACATTATAAATGTTCGCCCCCTTTGTAACTAACAGGTCTAGAGTGTGCCCTTTGCTGTGGGTGGGGCCACTCACATGCTGAGTGAGACCAAAAGATTCAAGAAGAGAACTCAGCTCTTTAGCATTTCTGTCATCAACATTATCCACATGAATATTAAAATCACCTGTAATAACTAAACTATCAAAATCTGTGCATACAACTGAAAGCAACTCTGTAAAATTATCAATAAAACTGTGACATGACTGCGGTGGCTTGTATAGGACAACGAAAAGTATTGGAGGAGATTGTTTTTGTTGTATTTTAAAAGACACATATTCAAAAGACGGAAACTTCCCAAGAGACATTCTATGGGAGACAAAGTGGTCTCTGAAAATGGCAGCTAAGCCTCCTCCTTTTTTGTTTTCCCGTATTTCAGATTCAAATTTGAAATTTGGTGGTGATGCTTCTATTAAAACTGCATTTTCTGTATTTTGGTCAAGCCATGTTTCAGCCATGAACATAAGATCTAGATTATAAGAACAAATCAAATTATTGATTAAAAAAGACTTGTTACAAAGAGATCTGACATTTAGCATAGCAAGTTTCAAAGTTTCAGGATCAGCGGTTGTGGTCGGCTGATTCTTACACGGAACAAGAATTAGATTTTCCTGATTAGACTGATTAACTCCAGATGTTTTTCTGTTATGTATTCTTTGTGTTATCACTAAGGGAATGGCACAGGTGGCTTCATGACAGGGCCCCAGCCGGGTCTCTCCTCTAACTAGACTGCCAGTGGCTGCGAAGCAGAGACCCTGTGCATCCTAGTGTTTAGAGAAAAGAGGGGTAGGGGAAGGCGGGGGAGGAGGATGGAGAGGTGGGTGGTTCTTGGGAGTTGGACGGGGAGGGGTTGAAGGTGGATGGGTTTTTGGTGATGGGTTAGGGGAGGGGCAGGCTGAGTTGGGTGGTGGACGAGGGGGGAGTGGAGGTGGAGGGTTTCTTGGTGCTGAGTTAGGGGGGGGGGGGGGCTAAATGAGCAGGAGGGGGGGGTGGAATACTTATGGGGTTAGAGGAGGGACGGGTGGATTTTGTGGGAGAATTTGAGTTGGACGCCCTAGGTGGCTTTGGAGGTACGTATGAGTAGTTTTGAATGTTAGATAGGACTCTTGATCTGGCTACAGTGGGTGTGAGAGGAATAGTCTTCATCGCCGATCTTATCATGCCTGCAGAGTGTTCCGGTAAATCCAGTAGTGAAGGCGGGGATAGAAAACAAAGGGAAAGGTCGTCCTCATTTTCCCTAGATGGAGTGGATGTAGCGGGGGGGACCCAAGCCGGGTCCATGGAAGGTGATGAGGGAGTCTTTGGTGGAGACAGAGGTGGTTGAGGAACCCCCAGTACAGGCCTGACTGTAGCCTGGAGTAATGGGGGAAGCTTCACGGGAGCTGTAGGTGGGGAAGGTGCTGCTGAAGATGATGGAGCAGCCACTGCTGCTGCTGTATCCACTGCTGCTGCTGAAGATGATGGAGCAGCCACTGCTGCTGCTGAAGATGATGGAGCAGCCACTGCTGCTGCTGTATCCACTGCTGCTGCTGAAGATGATGGAGCAGCCACTGCTGCTGCTGAAGATGATGGAGCAGCCACTGCTGCGGCTGTATCCACTGCTGCTGCTGAAGATGATGGAGCAGCCACTGCTGCTGCTGTATCCACTGCTGCTGCTGAAGATGATGGAGCAGCCACTGCTGCTGCTGAAGATGATGGAGCAGCCACTGCTGCGGCTGTATCCACTGCTGCTGGTGGTGCTGTATATGCTGATGGCGCTGATGAAGATGTGGCAGCTGCTGATGATGCTGGGGGTGGAGGCGTTGAGCTCTTTCGAAGCCGTGGAGGTGTTGAGTTCTTTTGGAACCTTGGAGGTGTTGAGTTCTTCTTGAATCGTGGAGGGTGTGGAGTTCTTTTGAGGCGGTGGGGGTGCAGAGACCTCGGGAGTCGGTGGAGATGGTCGTGATGTCTGTGCCCTTTGCTTCTTCTTTCTCCCTTTCAACGGCTGCACGCGCTGCGCAGGCTGAGGTCTTAGGGCAGATGCAAAGTTATCCATCAGCACTTTTACTCCGTAGTTGTTCAGATGTGGGCCTTTTTCTTCAAAAAGCTCGTGCCTATTCCAGAACAGATTAAAGTTTTCAATGAAGCCAAGTCCTCTGCGTGAACACTCATTGAGTAGAAATGTATTTAGCTGATACAGACGGCTAAACTTCTCCATTTTTCCATCTATATTTGGCAGTGGGCCACTAAGAAAAATTGTTATGTCCATTTTCTTGAGGTCATCCAGTAACAGCGTTAAATCCATTCGTAACTTCTCGCTTGCCTTCTCATAGATATCTACCGCCCCCGTGTGGATCAATAATGTACGCACACCACATTTTCTTGCTGCACAGCAAGAAAATCCCAGGTTCGATTCCCACCTGGACGGGGTCTTTCTGTGTGGAGTTTGAATGTTCTCCCCGTGTCTGTGTGGATTTTCTCTGGGTACTCCGGTTTCCAAAACCACTAAAATAATGTACAGTAGGTTCCTCTCTGGGGCCATGATTCCCCAGGAAAAAGGGATTCTTAATCTCTGTGGGAATTTCCTGGTTAAATAAAGATGAAATAAATTAAGCAACTGAAGTAAAGTTTGTCATTAACTACTTTTTTAACTTTTACAGAACACAAATGAGAGGAAGAGGACAGCTGTTCTGTTGGGACTTCCACTCTACCTCAAAGAAGATTCATCCAATGTTTTCCGGCTGTGTGATGTGAGTATGATACATTTTATCCAAATTAAGTTGCGTCAATAATTACAACTCATTTAGAAACCTGTTTAGAGTAATGTATGGTATTTAAAATAATATTTGGCAAACTGTACAGAGGTAATTAACACCATTCATTATAGACATGTAATAGATTTTATTCAGTCTTACTGAAATCAAAGTATATTTTCTAAAACGACGGACGCAAATTAGCCCAAGGCTACAATCCGGTGTGGCTTGTTTACATGCATGAGAACCATGTATGTTCATTAACATGCACTGTCTCGACCAAAGAAACCAATAAATAAAATGTAACGACATCTACAGCATCTAATTTCATTTTTATTTAGGCCCATTATGACCATCTGGATGAAGCGTTGAAGGGAATGGAACTTGGACTCCTGATTGCCTATGAAGAGGAGCAGGATGCGGTCCCACATCAGGTCTTTGATGTTGCTGTCGTTGTGGAAGAAAGCATTGTGATTCACCATGAAAAGAGTGTCGCATGTGGTGTGGCAATGCTGATGGGTATCATCTATGCTGTAAATCTGGAATACCCATCAGCAATGAAGTACACGTTCGAGTTTCTCCAAAAGGTGGTCATGAAGATCAAGCCCGAACAGGCCTCTGCCAGAATACATGGACTGCGCAACAAAATATTGAAGTACAACATGTAAATTAATCTATGTTGTCAAATGCTGTTGTATTCTTTTTTCCCTGCTGTTGCTCATTGTTTTGAGCCATTTTGGACACTTCAAATGTTGTTAGTAGGCCTGTTTAATTGGCTCTTCTTTGAAAGTTTGTTGACTTCTTCTAATCCCATGCCTTCAAGCATGTGTACAACACAAGTAGGCCTGGCACAATAAGAACGTTTTTGAAGTTTAATATGTTGAGGCTACAAAATATTGCGATAATTATTGAGGAGCACTTGACACCCCTGGATAATGAACTGAACTTAATAATGGAAGTCTCAGTATTCCCTCGTTATAAAACTATGTATTAAAAAATATTTGATAACACAAGTTGCAAGAAACATGACAAAATTTACTTTGATAAAAGGATTATAGTAATTAAAAAATATATAAAATTAGCAAAAATATTAATGTAATGACCATGTCGAGCCCATTATTGAATAAGTCAAAATAGTAACTATTGTGAGAAGCCTACACAAGTACAAGATGGAATTACATAATGTGTTAGCTGAAATGTTTTTAAAAAACTGGATAGCTTTGCAATATGGTATTTGCTATTACACTTGTTCCATGTTTTACATTTCTGGAAATAAAAAGGGAAAATAAACGCTGTGACTACTTGATTGTGAATTTTATCTACAATACCTATTTTTGCATGTCAATAGAAATCACAAGTAGACATTCCTTTAACTTAAAAGTGTCTGTACAATTTCTGCCATAAACATTTGCGTTCATCTAACATTTGACTGTAAGCGGTGCCAATATTGAAAACTTAGTATTATGTGTACAAGTAGAAAATATATTTGGTTGCGTTCAACTGCATTGAGTGAGTTAAATTTCATTCATAACTTGACCCAATATGTTGAACGAGGTCAAAACATTGTTTTCTTTTGACATCAGATCGTAAGTTAAAAATTATTTCAACTTAGGCTTGTGAGTTTAAATAACGCATACACTTGAATTAATATGGAGAAGCAATATAAGTTTACCGTTTGCACAACATAACATGTTAGTTGGTTTAAACTAAAACTATTGTGTTGTAACAATTTCTAGCAATGATTTATGAACCATTTATAACTTGCTTGTTTTAGTTGATTGAAGGTGCCAATATTGTTTCAATGAGCTCAACATTTTATGGCAGAAACTCAACGAAGACTTTTAAGTTGAACTACCATATTATTTATTACAGTGTAGTTGATACACGCAGGGGAGATGTAAACGCTCTCAAACCGAGTCAGTGGATAAGAAGTCAGAACTCGACCAATCAAATCCAAAAGTACAGCCTCTGGTCCGTGCCTTAATCCACACATTGAGACAACTCTAAGGCTCTATGAGTGTGAATTTCACTTCTTTTATTTTATTTCTTTGCATTTACTGATTTCTTAAAGGGACAGTGCATATTAATACAAATCCATCCATCCATCCATTTTCTACCCTTTAATCCATTTCTGGGTCAGGGGGGTGGCAATCAGAGATGCCACCCAAGTCTCATAGCACCAGCCCCTCACTGACCCTCTGCAGGTGGTGAGTCCACAGGAGGACGGCTGCTCTCTGAGTGTGAGCATAGCCTTGATCTTTCAGTGGGGGCTTTGGGCAAAGTGGGGTTAAGTGTCTTGCCCAAGGACACAACGACAGCAGTCATCAGTGGGAGTCGGTGGAGAAGGTGCAGAGGTGGGAATTGAACCCACAACCTTCTGGGCTTAAGGCCAATGCTCTACCAACTGAGCTACTGTCGCCCATTAATAAATCCATCTGTAAGTCCCAGGACAGTTGTTATGTGTCCTCCTGAAGGGAATAAAATGACCCATAACACAATCCGATTAAATATAACACGGTAAAATATAAACAAACAGTCCCCTCAGTAACACAAATCAAACATATAGACATGAACACACAACTGCTACAAACTCAATAACAACAATTAAGACAAGCAGGGGCCAGCAGGGGGCAGCAGGGAGCAGCAGGGGCCAGCAGGGAGCAGCAGGGGCCAGCAGGGGGCAGCAGGGAGCAGCAGGGGCCAGCAGGGAGCAGCAGGGAGCAGCAGGGGCCAGCAGGGAGCAGCAGGGAGCAGCAGGGGCCAGCAGGGAGCAGCAGGGAGCAGCAGGGGCCAGCAGGGGGCAGCAGGGAGCAGCAGGGGCCAGCAGGGGGCAGCAGGGAGCAGCAGGGGCCAGCAGGGGGCAGCAGGGAGCAGCAGGGGCCAGCAGGGGGCAGCAGGGAGCAGCAGGGGCCAGCAGGGGCCAGCAGGGGGCAGCAGGGAGCAGCAGGGGCCAGCAGGGAGCAGCAGGGAGCAGCAGGGGCCAGCAGGGAGCAGCAGGGGCCAGCAGGGGGCAGCAGGGAGCAGCAGGGGCCAGCAGGGGGCAGCAGGGAGCAGCAGGGGCCAGCAGGGAGCAGCAGGGGCCAGCAGGGGGCAGCAGGGAGCAGCAGGGGCCAGCAGGGGGCAGTAGGGGAGCAGCAGGGGCCAGCAGGGAGCAGCAGGGAGCAGCAGGGGCCAGCAGGGGGCAGCAGGGAGCAGCAGGGGCCAGCAGGGAGCAGCAGGGAGCAGCAGGGGCCAGCAGGGAGCAGCAGGGAGCAGCAGGGAGCAGCAGGGGCCAGCAGGGGGCAGCAGGGGTCAGCAGGGGGCAGCAGGGAGCAGCGGCAGGTGATGAACCAACTGTATTTTGAATGCGTTGTTGTGGGGGTGAGATTCCATCCATGGGCAGCTCGGACAGAAAATATGGATTGACCCAAATCTTGAAAACCGTGTCCAAGAATCGACTAGAACTCTCCTCGTCCCACTTTCTCCGCCTCCGAAACCAAAGCCCGAGACCGACGCGACCTCTCTCCTCTAATCACAACAACTTCTCGCTCTTTAAACCCGTTCTTTCGCCCGTTGAAAAAGTCCCGGAGCATTAAAGGACTTTGGTAAAGAGTGTGTGAGTGTGAGCCACAGGTGGATCAGTATTCAGTCCTCGGAGGCCGGCCCACTTCACACGCTGCCGATAGAACTCTCAAAGCCACGGCAAAAAGATGTTTAATTAAAAAGAACGTTTCTGTCTTTCTCCCTTTGTGCAGAAAAACAAAAGTTTGCTCAAACAAATGCACCTATAGACTCGCACCAACGTTTTAATTAGGCTCCTCTCGTCGCGCCTCGGGTGAGTTATAATTGTTGATGTGTACTTTGTATTATGGTGTGCTGAAGTAGTGTTTTTCTCTGGTCTCTCTCTCTCTCTCTTGACTCTCTCTCTGGCCTCTCTCTTTGGACTCTCTTTCTCTGGTCTCTCTCTCTCTGGTATCCCCCTCTGGTCTCTCTCTCTGGCCTCTCTCTGGCCTCTCGCTCTCTTTAGTCTCTCTCTCTGACCTATTTATCTGGTCTCTCTCTTTAGTGTCTCTCTCTGGTCTCTCTCCCTGGTCCTCCTCTCCGGTCTCCCTCTGGCCTCTCTCTCTCTTTAGTCTTTCTCTCAGGCCTCTCGCTCTCTTTAGTTCTCTCTCTTGCCTTTCGCTCTCTTTAGTCTCTCTTTCTGGTCTCTCTCCTGGTCTCTCTCTTTAGTCTCTCTCTTTAGTCTCCCTCTGGTGTCTCTCTCTGGCCTCTCTCTCTTGTCTCTTGCTCTCTTTAGTCTCTCTCTGGCCTTTCGCTCTCTTTAGTCTCTCTCTCTGGTCTCTCTCTCTGGTCTCTCTCTGGTCTCTCTCTGGTCTCTCTCTCTGGTCTCTCTCTCTCGTCTCTCTGCCCTTTTCCCTTTGTGCAGAAAAACAAAAGTTTTCTCAGACGAACGCGCCTATAGATTCGCATCAAAGTTTTAATTAGGCTCCTCTCGTCTCCTTCATGTAATTTCTTGCCTAATTGTTGATATTTACACTTGCCGGGTTTACAGGAGTTTACCGCCAAAGCTCGATTTTATTATGGCGCGCAGAAGTCGTCTTCCCTTTTAATATGCTAATGCTGCAGATATAATCAGCCGGTAATTGTGAAACACTTGAACACATTCAACGGCACTTGTCTGCACTGGATGAGGAGCTCGCAGGGAGAGGGAGGCTGAGGCCGGAGCCAGAATGGGATCATTATTGGGATTTGGTCGTAAAGATGGTGGATGGGAGACGAGGTGATGACCCCCGCACGCCGAGAGAGCGGTCTGTGGCGAAGGCGTGGAGCTGCATTAGCGACTTAACAGCTGCGAGATCCATCTTTTCTTTTTTTCATACATTGTAAATGCTGCTGGATGGTCCTTGCATGGGAGCTTTCTCAGTACTGTCTCAGTCCTGGTTCTACAGCCTCGGTCCTGGGTCTACAGTCTCAGTCCTGGATCTACAGGGTCAGACCTGGTTCTACAGCCTCAGTCCTGGATCTACAGCCTCAGTCCTGGGTCTACAGTCTCAGTCCTGGTTCTACAGCCTCGGTCCTGGGTCTACAGTCTCAGTCCTGGATCTACAGGATCAGACCTGGTTCTACAGCCTCAGTCCTGGGTCTACAGCCTTAGTCCTGGTTCTACAGCCTCAGTCCTGGATCTACAGCCTCAGTCCTGGATCTACAGCCTCAGTCCTGGATCTACAACCTCAGTCCTGGGTCCTACAGCCTCAGTCCTGGGTCTACAGCTCAGTCCTGGAACTACAGCCTCAGTCCTGGGTCTACAGCCTTAGTCCTGGTTCTACAGCCTCAGTCCTGGATCTACAGCCTCAGTCCTGGGTCTACAGCCTTAGTCCTGGTTCTACAGCCTCAGTCCTGGGTCCTACAGCCTCAGTCCTGGATCTACAGCTCAGTCCTGGAACTACAGCCTCAGTCCTGGGTCTACAGCCTCAGTCCTGGGTCTACAGCCTCAGTCCTGGATCTACAGCTCAGTCCTGGAACTACAGCCTCAGTCCTGGATCTACAGCCTCAGTCCTGGGTCTACAGCCTCAGTCCTGGATCTACAGCTCAGTCCTGGAACTACAGCCTCAGTCCTGGATCTACAGCCTCAGTCCTGGGTCTACAGCTCAGTCCTGGATCTACAGCCTCAGTCCTGGGTCTACAGCCT